TCTCTCTCTCTCTCTCTCTCTCTCTCTCTCTCTCTCTCTCTCTCTCTCTCTATCTCTCCCTCTTTCTCTAACTCTCTTTTTTTCCCCAACTAATCTTACAACAGTTGGTAGATTCATAAAAACATACACCTACTGTGACTTACCTCTTCTTTACTTTTCTCACTTTTTCTTTTTCTCCTTTAATTCCCCTCTTTCTTCCTCTACCACTCCCTTTTTCAATGCTATATAAACAACGACATAAAAAAACGAAAAAAAAACAACAAACAAAAAACGAAATAAGTACACTGACAAGAACCCCCCATGATCAAACCAACCAACCAACCAACCAACCAACAAATAAACAGCTAACCAAACAAATAAACACACAGACAAATATCACCCACAAACAAACAAAAAAAGAACTCAGAAAGCATCACCCATAAACGTACAAACTAGCAGAAAAACACATAGAAAAGCAACATCCACGAACATAAAAAAACCCACGCGCAGACAAGCACCATCCACGAACAGATAAACGAACAAACACACAAACAAACAAACAAACACGCGCACAGACAAGCATTATCCACTAACTAACAAACGAACGAACAAACAAACAAACAAACAAACAAACAAGCAAACAAACAAACGAGCGCACAGACAAACATCACCCACTGAAAACTGCTTCCTCAAGGGCGCCGTAATGGCCTGGTGTCTATCCACGGCAATGACCACCAGCATGTTGGTACTGGCGCAGATGGCGAAGATCTGGAGCAGCTTGATGAGCCGACACATGACGTCACCAGCTAGCCAGCGCCGGTCCAGGTGCTCCCACACCAGCTGAGTGACGCACGAGAAGGTCACCACCATAAGGTCAGCCACACACAGGTTCAGGATCAGCGCGTTCACTCGTGACAGTCTGGAGAAAAAGAAGAGAGAAACATGACCCTTCTGAACAGGGGGAACAGAAGAGATAAACTTTACTCTTTTGAAAAAAATAAATTATTTTTTAAAACTTTTGTTTCACGGCGCTCGCAACTGCATAGGGCCAAATGAGCGTTTAGGAAACATAACGCATTCAGTTTTGTAGGAATTATTTTCAAATTTTTTCCGGATGGTGGCCAAAGCCTACTTTCATTCATTTTCGGACCACCAAGGGATCTTTAACGTGAGCAACTTGGGCACAGGACCTCCGAGAGTTTTTTTGCTCTTATCCATGCAAGCTAGGTGTTAGATCTTACTTGCCCTAAGAACAGGGGCGTGGCTGAAATATAGCAGTAAAAAACGAGACAAAGTAAAAAGGCTGCAGAAAGAGTCAGTAGCCTAGAGGAGGAAGCAAAGGGGGAGGGGGTGGGGGTGGGGGCAGAAAGTGAGGACGTTAGCAGACGACAGAACACATGGTTAAAGAGCTGGAAATGAAGTGATAGGCGACAATTTTAGCGAAAAAAAATGTTCCGTCGCTATCAGGTTTTGAACCTGGGACCTATTAAATGAGAGCAGAGGCGAACAGTACCTTCAGTCCTCGAGAGCCCCCTGAAAATGTTTTCAGAGTGAGTTTGATATTCATTCTTTGCAAGGCACAGTGTCATCGACAGTAAATATTTAATGTTATCTTCGACACAGACAGCTCAGCGTCCTTTTTATGTTGGTTCTCACAGGAAGATTCGAGTAGCTTGTCCTTTTAATGATCTTAATTAGGCAAGTGCTGGCTTAAGAAGTTCCCGTTCATTTCGTCAGAGATAAATATACTGAATCGCTAAATGACCCACTCCACGCTTATTGTTCCAAGATGTACAACAATTCGGAATCCACCCCCCCCCACCCCCGTTTCCCCCTCACCTATTTTCCCTCCTCCCCGTGTAAAATACCAACTTCAAGAGCCTTTCATCTTGCGCTATCAGAAGGTGATCGGAGACAGCCAAAAAGAAACACAACACAGCCCCGCTTGAGTCTTAATCAGGGAAATAATTCCTTTATTTAGCGGTAACGAATAAACATGTGTTCACAAGATCGGCGCTAATGAATACAAGTCCCCGCTACAAAATTCTTCATTGTTTTAAAAAATAAAAGCGACCCAGTTCTCAAAATAAAGTTTGCCAAGATGCTCTGGCTTGTCTTTTGCCCATCAGGCTAATTTTGTAATGGTTTTTATTATGTTTTCCCCTCAATGCCGCCTTCCCTGTCTATACCGGCGAATTCACAGTGGTCGTGTAGAGACTAACCAGAGAGTGGGGTTCACACAGGACACATGAATTATTAATTTTCCCTTTACGTCTAGGGCTGCATGCCCCTAAAGTGGACTCTTTGTTTTTCTTCTCTGACATGCACTTTCCACCTGTTTCCCAACATTCTCAACATTCTTCCTAGAACGTTTGAGCGAATATTTTGAGCTTCTGTACTTGGTGTTGATAGATTTTAACGTGGAGCAAGATATTGATTCGGGGATGGCAGTGGTAGCCGTAATTGGATTGGAAATTGCTTCTTAGGCTCTGAGTGGTACGATGTACCGTTTGTAAGTTTCCGTATCTCTCCCCTCCCCCCACCCCACTCTCTCTCTCTCCATCTCTCTCTCCATCTCTCTCTCCATCTCTCTCTCTCTCTCTCTCTCTCTCTCTCTCTCTCTCTCTCTCTCTCTCTCTCCCTTCTCCTGGCACTTAGTTTAGGTTAGTTTATCTTATTCAAGACTACATATCATTACCATGCTACATTAGTACCAGTTCTGTCTTCTTTTGAATAAGATTTATAGCATGCATGAGGCGCTATTGCAATTTCTTAAGAAAAAAGAAGAGTTTGCTCAGGACTTTAAAAAGAACTCAATTTTGTTTAATAAAATTGATTTGGATGTATAGTTACATAAAGAATACACCCGCCAGGTGTATCTTGAAACGTGCTCTTGACTATTATTTCTCGAGAAGAGATGTTTTTGACACCGAGCTTTAATATATATATACAAGACAGACTCTGAACCTTTCTTATACCTGAAGTTAGGAAGGAGTAAACGTCATTATTTCTGTCTTTGAAGACGCTCAGTCTAATCGCAGGCAGCGCGTAGCTAGGATCCAAGAGTGATTCCTGTGTTGACGCTCTGTAAACAGCTGTCTCTAACACAAAGATAGCCAGCTCCCGAACTCCGTTTATTTTGGTCATGTTTCAGTCAAACGACACACTGAACGAACCAATGTATAATAAGTCGTTTCTTAGTAGTCAGAGCACTTGACCTATCTCATCACCGAGGCTTTCATAACTTCATTTTTCTCTCTCTCGCCATCTTCACATATAACCCGAGGGTTTATGTAGTGCAAACACAGCCACCCACTCACTTCATGTCTGTGGAGCAAGAAATGGCGCTTCCTGCACGTCTGGGATAAGCTGCATCTGTTGGAAATTGCTTAACATTCTAACCCTAGAGAGCAACTGATTTGTACATGAATGACCCATTTCAATACGAGGACAGCGTGTCCTATGCAGACGGTCTTCGTGGTAAAAGAAGAGTATAGCCGCCCCTAACCCATCTACTTCGAATGTGCATGACCTTGAGTACATATCAGGGAGTCATCGTAGTAGTCACTATGGGGCTGTAGCTATATCTTACAAGAAATGGTCTTCGTGATACGCAAAGGCATGGGAGATTGTGCGTTACTGCCATCTTTTCCTCAGTCTACAGTGCATCTGATTTAAGTGCATGGGTCTATATTAGTGTTAGAGTCAATCGTTTGAAGTTTGAGATTAACTTTAAGTGCAGCATATTTCTACGTGACAGGCCCACTTTTCGAAAAGGAACAAAGTGCCCTTTGTAGGCAGATTTGTCAACCTACAGTACAAATGATGTGTGCGCAGACCACTCATATTTTAGGTACAAGGACTCGCATTCTTTTCTGAGGTATTCTTATCATTTGCATTGACCGTAATTTCTTCAGTTTTCGTTGCTGATTACCCTTGTGTATTATGCACAGATTAAGCTAATCCAAACAACATGCAAAAGTCGGAGGTTGATTCCTGAACGAGGTACATAATTTTTCCGAATACCTGCGCCTTTCTGTTGGGACTCTGTATTCTCATCAGCCCAGTTTGAACCTAACATAAGCAGCACACCCCAAAAAAGGTGTCACTAAAGGATGTAAACCCTTTTCAAAATATCAATTTAGGGATTGAGCTATAATTTTACAAGTGAGACATCAGCACTGATGGATGAACTTTTCTTTAGCTTGCAACATCCAAAGTGTCTGTAAGTGCATAACGGGTAAAAATTATTTCCCTTTTTCTGAACCCTCGAGGTTTTACTAGAGCGACCTTCGCATCAAAAATATGAAATACCTGAGACAATCCTTAAAGTTATCTTCTGACCACGATAGTACGAACCAAGGCTCGAACAAGAGTCTAATGAATAAGAGGCAAACACTTTACCTTTAATCTAACGATCCCTCCTCCTTTCTCTTGTATTGCTTCAAACAACACGGGCATGTTTTGTCAATTTTCCCCGACACACACACCCCACTCTGTTTGTTATTTCAAAAATCATGTTTTCTGTGCCCCTTTATTAATCTTTATGCGTCTTATAGGCATAATAAAAACGCGTCGTCGATATTGTACCCCTGGAGCGTTTCATGGAGATGCACTTGAATTATTATTTATCATGCCCATCGATCAAATTCATTAAGTTTCAAGACGCGAGAGGTGTCAGATAAGAGCTGGCTGTACCGTGGTCCTTGAAAATGGAAGATCGAACGTTATCCTATTCTATATGAGCGCATGAAGCGTATTAGATCATAAACCGGGGAGACCCTTGGGGTTCCTGATCTATCACTTTATGAAATAAGTGCTCTGATTTAGCTGTAGTGTCGCCCCTATCACCTTACGGATTGTAACATATTTTCTGACTTACCTCCTGATAGAAAATTTAATAGACTTACACCGTGCGGGCTCTTTTGGCCTCGATTGTGCTGCTCTTATGTTGTGTTCTTTGTTTTTTATGTCCTCGCTGTTTCTGTTCTGATGTGAGGTACGTGCAGGAAGACGCCCAGAACTACGATTGGAATGCTCTTTAGATCGCTGCAACTTGTTTGGTAACACACAGGCACTCACGGACACTCACACACACACACACACACACACACACACACACACAACAT